CTGAAAGGTTACTGCATGATGAGTGGAAAGTTACTAGATAGTGCCATGGAGGTGCACTACGACTACTATCTGGAGTTGTCTTGTGTTACCAATTGACAGTGGTGTGCTTTTCAAGGTGCTTACTTGGGGTTGTGCTGGGTTGTGTAGTTTCCTTTGCATCACTAGGATCCAGCATCCCCATGCTATCCAAAGAGTATAAGGAAAAAAGCATGTACAGCAAGTGGCCCTTCTCCAGGAAAAGTATCACAGATTGTCTGATGGAAGACAAGATGTGACTCCATGATCTTCCTCAAGATGTGGGTGGAATTCAAAACACATAGAAGAGAAGCAAATAACGCATCTCATAAGATCCCCCGTGGTGTTTTATTTTAAAATGTTTGAGAGTAGAGCCATCTTCTTCCATTTACATACTTACCTAAGCTGTCCCCTTTCATCTCTGCCCAGATGTATTCAGTAGCCTTAATGCCACCTCAAAGAGGGAGCCTGGAACAATGCTGAAAACCGTGTCTCCTGTTGATCGGATGCTTTTCTTAAAACGTAAGTGTGGTTAATCAAAGCTAGGAGGCCCCAGACACTATTGGTCCATCCACTGAAGCAGCCAATGAATGTGTGCTGCCACTGTCTTTTCTTTTAGAAGAGCTCTGATGTTTAGGAGGATCAAGTTCTCAGCCTTGCCTGAAATTCACTATGATTTTCTGTACCCCATGTTGGGAAAGAAATTTTATTTTCTGTCCGTGGAATTTTGGTCCAGTGTTTTATTCAGAACTATCATCTTGATACTGTTTGGTCCTTTGTTTTTGTTTTGTTTTCTTTTTCTTAAGCAATGAATTTATTTGTGTTTGCTTGAGATTCAGTAGCAATGCACTTTGTGAAAATCTAAGTTCTCAGGCAAGTTTCATGAGCAGAGATCACTAATTTGCGCAGCTTTTCATGCTCTTGAAAAACATTCCCCATTATGTTTTATTTTTAAAACCTTGAGAGTAGAGCCATCTTCTTCCAGTTACACACTTAAGCGGTCCCCTTTGACCTCTGCTTCTAGAAAAGAAGCAGACACTGTAGCCGGGACTTTTGTATCATCCCTGCTTTAAAGTGAGACTGGAGTTCAAGTATCTTTCTCTCCCTGTGTCTCTTGTACTCTGCACAAACTTGGCATCCCCAGCTCTGACCTTTCTGAGGGTGACTTGGAGCCAAGACCCAAAGACAGTCAGTCATTCACAAGAAAGAATCCTGCAGCATGCCCTTTTTACCTACATAAATGATTTCCAGCTCCTGTCTTTTGTCACCAGCTGTGCACACAGGTGTGTGTTAGTACCTGTGGTATTCACCTATCTGAACACCTATTCAGACCACAGGAAAGCCAGTACTGGCTTTTCTGACTCGCACTTCGCCACTAAAGTACAGTGATCAGAATAATAAGATGTTGATGTTGCATGTATGAGACCGAGCCCCATGGTTTTGGAAGTTTTAGTTTGTTTACAGTCACAATGCCAGAATTAAAATCATGGTGCCTTTCTTTTTGTTTAGAGAATTCTTCAGTTAGCACTGCGCAAACAGTGCCATTTACTTCTCCCTTCATTTGCAGTGCACAGGTACAGTGTGAGGGCTGCAGAATTACCAGCAGTGGGTCCTCTAGCATCTTCACACATGCATCACACATCAGCAACTCTTTCTGTACATCTTTGCAAGTGTGTGCTGTGATCCTGCCCAGATCAAGACAATCTATTAGTAAAGCCATGTATCAAAGAATACCTATTGGTGCACCACTGCTCTGTGTATTTTAAACAGCCATTGCTAGGAGTCACAGTAAGGCAGGGAAGTGTGAAGTGCAGCTGTATTTTTTAGTCATTATTCATGTGTAGTACTTTCTTTCTGGGGGTCTTTTTTCTGGCTTTCTGATTTCTGTCCTGCTTCATGGTGAAAAGAGCCTGCTGCTGCATTCAGTGGTTTTTGGAGTGTAGTTCCAGGCTGAAATTTTTCTGCTGTAAATGACGTGTTAGGTGAACTGCTGCAGACCTTCTGGGAGGTGGTAGGTTGTTTCTTTGCTACGTACATGATGCTTCTGCTTTGAGCCGTGAGACTCTGTGAAACAGATTCCTAGCCTGTTTTTCAAAGGAGATCTCACTGGAATGAGGTCTCACAACCCATGAGTCTGCTCCACTGCTGTCTAAAACTCCTAGGCTATCATCACGGTAGCAGTCTCCAACATTCTGCTTATAAGCAGAAGCTCTCAGTGTTAATAGCCTACCTATTTGTATACTTCATCTCATTTGTGAAACACACACATACGGACCTAAATATGTCTTTTACTGACCTGCATTAAAGACTGTGCAACTTCAAAGCACTACTGCATATAGACAGCACAGTGCTTCCTAGAAGAAATGTCTCTTACTCCTTGCAAAATCACAGTTTCCAAGACACTACCAGCTGTGGGTTCCTTTGCAGGCTTTTTGTATGTAAGTTGGACCTTTTTCAAAGGGCATGATAAACATAGCAAGTACATTTATGGTTTTGATTGCAGATGCAAGATCACCAACCTGGGAATACGATAGCCTTCATCCAAGACTGAAGTTGTCTGATGACCGTCTTACAGTAAGCTGTAACTGGAGAAGAATATTCTACCCTTGTGGTCCCCAGAGGTTTGATAAATTATGGCAAGTTCTAAGCAGAGATGCATTCCTCTCTGGGAGCCATTACTGGGAAGTTGACCTCCTTCATGCCGGAGCTGGGTGGTGGATTGGTGCAGCCTATCCTTCCATTGGCAGGAAAGGAGACTCTGAAAGCTGCCGACTCGGCTGGAATAGAGCATCTTGGTGTATTAAGAAGTTTGATCTTGAATACTGGGCATTTCACAGGGGGGAGAGGATCCCTCTCTTGATAGAAGATGATCCTGATCGCATTGGCATTTTTCTGGATTATGAAGCCGGAATTCTTTCATTCTATAATGTTACTGATGGCATGACACATTTGCACACCTTCCGCTGCAAGTTCACAGAGCCAGTTTACCCAGCTTTGAGGCTCTGGGAAGGGTCCATTGGAATATGGAAGCTAACATAAGGAATGAAGTAAAATAAAGCCTACTCTCTCATGGTTTTTTTAAATTTGAAAGCCGCTTTAGTAGTGATTTACATGTATGTCATATGAAGATTGAACTGTGGCACTTCTAGAAGTTAGCAGGAAAGTTCAAGAAAAATCAGCAGTTTTTAAGTAAAGTAGTACCTACCTGTATTTTCACTGGAGGAGTTTGATCTGCCATTTATAAATGATGTCAGTGTGTCACCTAAAGTGCCTTGCATTGTATTTTTGTACTTGATTCAAACTTGCAAAGTAGAAAAAGTCTGGTCATCGCTTGAAAAAATGCTTATTAAAACTCAGATTTGAACCTGAAAACCACTGTCAGGTCTTCTTGTTTATTGATGTTGTTTTTTCCAGCTCCATCCTATTATGAGGTTGGAGGTGTTGCACTTGTTCATGGTATTAGATTAATTTGCCTTAAGTAGAGTGAGCACTGAAGCAGCCACACAATAACCACAAGCTAATCCTACTTTGACAGTCTGAAGTGACGTTCTAGCTGGCCCTAACTCTTTTCCTTCACACACCAAGAGTGGAAGCAAGAGAAACAGTTTTGCACATCTTTAGTAGAAACTGAAACTAGAGAACCCACAGATGCTCTGAAAATACTAGGTTATTGAGGCACTTGTGCTTAAATTATTGTTTCCTATTTCAAGTCTCTTCAACTGTTGCTGGATGGAAATAAATGCATATAAAACTAGCAGAGACGGTTCACAAGGATTACTTTTCATCTGCCATTTCTCTGTAGGGGTAGTGATTTATTATTTTTCCCAGTCTAGTTAACAGTGTTCTATTCAGTTAGTGGCCAGTCACCAGTGGTATGTTCCAGGATGAGTGCTGAGGCTAGTTTAAATATTTCTGTCAATGGTTTGGATGAAGGGATCAAGAACTCCCTCTGTAAGTTTGCAAACAATACCAATTTAGGTTGGAATATTGATTGCTTAAAGGTATTCAGTCTCCAGAGAGACCCAGATAGACTGGACAAAGTCAATGGACAAAGTCCAACCTCATGACAGCCAGTGAGGCCAAATGATGGGTATTGCAGTTGAGTTGCAACTCTGTATAGTAGCGCAGGCTTGGGAAAGCAAAGGACCTGACGTTTTGGTGAAGGTGGCTGAGAATGAACCAGAAATCTGCCCAGGAAATAAAGGCCAATGGCATCCTGTCCTATGAATGAAACAGTGTGGCTAGCACAGCTAAGGAAGTGATTGTCCCCTTGTCCACTGGTGAGACCACACCTCCAATAGTGCATGCAGCTTTAGTCCTCTCACTAGAAGGACAATCAGTTGTTCAAGTGTGTGCAGAGAAGAGCAACAAAATAAAGCAGGTGAAGGGACTAGAAAACAAGACATACCAGAACCAACAGAGAGAACTGGGGTTGTTTAGTAAAGAAGAGGTCAAGGGGAGACCTCACAATTCTCTGCAATTACCTGAAAGAAGGCTGCAAAGAGAAGGTTATCCATCTCTTCTCTCAGGTTGCGAGTTGTAGAACATAAGGCCTCAAGTTGTGCCAGGGAAGGTTGAAATTTTATATTACACATTTTTTCATGTAGAGGGTGGTTAAACACTGGAACAAGCTGTTCAGGGAACTGGTAGTGTCCCCATCCCTTGAGATACTTAAGAGAGATGTGGACGTGGCTGTAGGAGAGATAGTTTAGTGCTAAGATTTTGTATGCCAGTCTGATGTTTGGATGTGATGTTCCTGAAGGTCTTTTCTAACCTAAGTGATTGTATGATGTTTTAAGTCCTGGAAAACTGATAAAAACATAGTCTCCAAAGATTATTGGACCAGGTGTACTGTTAACCTGAAAAAGCACTGCTTGAAGCAAGCCAGGTAATCTTTGGTGATTCAAACACTAAAGGCCATTGACTCCTCTCTGCTGCTAGCAAAGGCAAGATCTTACTACAGATTGAAATGCAAAAAGAGTTACTTGTTTTGAAAGCCGGATTTATTTTTAAAATTTGCCATTTAAAAAAATTCAACAGTTGTTTCTTAACGTAAGGCAAGCATACTGCATCAGCACTCACAGACAGTCACAAGCACATGATTCAAACAGCTTCTTCCCAGTTTAAAGATAGAACTACGACTCTTCAGAACTGCAGAAAAGTACACATTTGGAAAGTAAACTACTTACAGGCACAGAAACATCACCATCAGATTCAAGACATCTTACCAATCCATGATCAAGATCAATAACCATAATAACTGTAACTAGCAATTGATTCTGTCATAGACAAACACATACTGGTAACACCAAGGTGATTTCGTGCTTATCAAGCTAGTTGAGAGATGTGTTATACCTGCTGCCATCTGGTCCTGCCCAAACAAAAACAATAGGCAGAGAGACTGCACTTCTTACTTGAAAAGAACCTGTACAGCAAGAGTGCAGTGCGCAGAGGAGCGCTGGCAATCATGCTGTGACCTAGTCAGTGAGGTGATCTAGTCAAGCAGCTTGCTTCAGCTGTTTTAAAGAGCAGCATGTAAGGAAGGGGGAGGGGGGCTTAATCCGAAGACAGGATCTTCGTGCAAAAAGGAGGCTGCAAAATCCTTACTAGCATCTGATTTCTTACCTGAGCAGCTGTCCTCACACACAAATAGAGAAGCTGCACAGCAGAATTTATTAGGATGCCAAGGTTCAGTAATCTGACAGATGCTTTTGCCAATTCCTGGAAGCACAGATTAAATTTACTTCCACTGATCCATCCTGGGTGAATTTTGCTTGCTGTCTTGCCTTTCAGCTTATAAAAAGTACAAAAAGGCTCCTTTTCTAGCTCCTTAAATGGGAGCTGTCTACATATCCAATTCACTGACTTTGTTGGTACTGCTTTTGAGAAGGTAAGTGCATACTGGAACCTAGCTTTCCTCAAGGAGCTGGCTTTTGAAAGAGTGGCATCACAGGAATAGACAATTATCTCCCTTCTCTATACTGCTGCACTTCTGTGAGTTTGTCCACTTCTATTCCTCAAGCAGGTTCCTGCCACCCGTTCCTTTAACTTGAGACTTTTTTTTAAAAGACATATCTTAAGAAGAATCTATCATACTGCATGTATGAAGCTGTCTGTTTAGTTTAGGTAATTTCTCTCTTTGCATTTAACACGAACTTGCATCCTGTAATCATGGTATTAAAGCAAATGGCAGAAGAGAGACTTTACAGTAACAGAACAATTCAAGTACAGACAGATTTTTAGGATTAGTGTATTCTTATCAGAAAAGGAAAGCTAGAAAACAGTAGACCTCGGTCACAGATTTGGCAAGAAATCCAAAGTAATCAAAGTGGAATGGAAGAGGAGGAACATGGTGTTTTCTAGACACAGTACTATGCAGTTTCTAATAAAATTGCTTTTCATAATTTATATCCCCTAGTTGCGAAAACTTGCTGCAGAACAAACCCTGAAAACGTTCATCTTCTTCAATCCTTTCTAACCCACCATGTCACTAGAACATGTTGTGCAGTAGGACAGACTGACATCATAAAATATCAAATGGAGGGCTTAGGTTTAGCACTTCACTTTCTTGACATGATTTTCCACTGCCTGCTCAGTGATGGTTTCATCTTCTTCAATTGTTGTCTTAGCCTTCTGGCCCACCAGATCAAAGATGGCTTCTGGAGCAAATCCCTTAGGCTCTCCTACTTTCACTGTCAGCATGTCAAGTGTCAGTACGGTTCCTTCGGGAATGGTCACTTTTGCCACAACAGACTTCCCCAGCTACAAAGGAGAAAATAAAAACAACATTTAAGTCAAACAGAATTGTAGGCACCAGAAGTGGACCACAAAATTATAAGCTACCTGAGAAAGGGTTGCCCAACCTGTTGCTTAACTTATAACTCTACAAGAAGCTTGAGTTAGTATGGAAATGTTTACTGTAACAAGGCTGATGGGAAAACTTAAGTCCTTACTGAATTCAGACAAGATCTCACTGGCATTTCCCAGAATCAGAACGGAAGGAATCTGAGTAGACTGATGAGCATTCTAGCTTCGTGTAAACAGAGCTTGTGCATTCACACGAATTTACTGCTCAAGGGAGTTAGTCACAGGGGACATCCATAAAACTCCACTGAACTTAAAACCGACAGAAATGGCACATGATAAGAAATGCAGATCTGCCTTAAAGTTACAGTGCAATAAGCGCAGTGTAATAAGTGCTCTGCTCCTTTGCAGTGGAAAATTTATTAGAGTCCAGAGGCAAAACACTGCACAAAAACGGAGACCTTCACACCACAAACCCAAGCATTGGCTGCTGTTTTTCTGCACGGGAGTTACAGACTGCGAATCAAAAGCAGGAGTTACCTTTTCATTGCAAGCCATTTCACAAGGCAAGAGCTGTTTGATTGGAGAACCCATTGCTTTTTCCACGGTACGGATGGCTTTCACCAGCTCTGCCAGTTCCTTTGGCTCCAGGGAAGCCTGGTGGTCACTTCCTTTCCATGTTTTGTCGAGAGTCACGTGACGCTCCACCACTTTTGCACCCAGAGCAACAGCTGCCACCGAAATGGCAATGCCGGTTTCGTGCCCTGAATAGCCAATGGGGATGTCGGGAAAAGCTGACTGATATGCCTGGAACCACGACAGAGTTGGTCTCAGTTGCCAAGGCAGCAATTTCAAAGACAGAGCCAATTTAACAGTAATAACTGCAGTGAACACACGGGCAGTTTCTGTGCCACAAAACAAGCTGTTGGTTATGCTCAGGATGAAGCATGCCTAGGATGCCCAGGATTCCTCCAGCCCAAGTGCAAAACTTTGTACTTTGCCGTGTTGAACCTCATCAGGTCCACCTTCATAGCCTCTCAAGGTCCCTCTGCATGGCATCCCTTCCTTCAACCATGTCTTTCTAATTTATTTGTGCTCTTCAAGGTCTTAAAAGCCCACCCAGCTGTAAGTTGTGCAAATGGAGTTTTTTTCATCCAAGAACCCAACACCTTGTTAAGCTTAACCTGCGTTCAAAGCAGATGGTGCACCTTCCCATGTTTCAAATCTGAAGCAGTCCTTTCCGCAGCAACACAGGAGTTATTCAGTCCTACAGGCAGTTAAATACAGTCACGTCCAGATATCCTCAAGCTAACAAACACTGCGTGCATAAAGCTGGGCAGATGTTTGAACGCTGGCCGACCTGGGAACATTTTCCTGCATCGGCCACCAGGCACATCCAAGCAATAGTTTCAAAGGAAATTATAATCCATTTTCTCTCACGGCTCTGATATTCACACAGAGCCTTTTTAATGGAATTATGCGATTGAGCTCCCAACTGAGAATCACGTCCTCAGTTCCACACACCCTCCCAGAGGTGAGGTAACCGTCCACATCCTTTTCTCTCCTTTTCAAAGCTCACGCTCACCTTCAGCTCCCTTCTATTTAACTGCATAGCCCCTAAAGCAATCTCTCCTATCGTATTCCTGAAAGCTCAGTTCTGCCAAAACAGGACCCAGTTAATAGTTTTACTTCAAGGCCAGGTGGAATTAGAGGACCACGATGCACTTTCCCACCTCTCAGAGGCAAACTCGAGCATGTGTAAGACCTGGAAACAGAGCGCAATGGAAGCGCACAGGCCTTCTGTGGTACTGTGCCAATAGCACTCTTACTTATTCACTGACCGATATAACACGGAGATTGACGTCCTCAGGCTGAAGCGGGTAGGCACTGGTGCACTGCAGGAAGCAGAAGTTTGGATTGATGGGCTTCACAATCTGATACACCTGGTGCATTGTGTTCATCGACTGCATCCCGCTGGAAATCACCATTGGGCGTCCTAGCCATTAAAACAAATGTTTTGCCTAGATTTCAAGTTTAGATCCCTAAGAAATCTGCACAGGCTTAACTGAAATTCTGCAATGCATTTGGTTGAACTAGAAAAGGAAGATGGGTGATTTTTTTGGCTTTTTGTTTTTCCCCAAAGTTAAGCGAAGCAAATACATAATAACTGAACTGGTGAGACACTGTGAAACTACGAAGTTTAATGAGACTGGGTTCCCCAGTTCATGAAAGACAGGGAAAATCCAGGGAGAGTCCAGTAGAGGGGCACAAAGATGACGAGAGGCCTGGAACATCTCCGCCAGGAGGAAAGGCTGAGAGACCTGGGGCTGTTCAGCCTGGAGAAAGCTAAAAGAGGATCAACTGAAAATGCGAAAATGGACAGGAGTCAAGTGGATGGGGCCAAGCTCACTTCACTGGTGCCCAGTGACAGAACAAGGGGCAGTGGGCACAATCCAGAACATAAGAAGTTCCATCTGAGCACAAAGAAAAACTTCTTTACTGTGAGTGTGACAGAGCAGTGGAACAGGCTACCCAGAGACACTGTGCAGTGTCCTTCTCTGGAGATATTCAAAATTTACCTGGTCATTTTTCTGTGCAACCTGCTGTAGCAAATGTGCTTTATCAGACAGTTGGACTCACGGACCTTCTGAGGTTCCCTCCAGCCCCTATAACTTGTGATTCTGCAAATACTGCTCAGTAGATAATGCTTACCTTTCTTTGCAGTCTTTTCCAAATATGGGAAATTATTTGTATCTCCTGATCCTACTTTGAAAAATGGAACATCCAATTCATGAAGAAATTCTACAGCCATCTGCAAGAAAATAGATAAATAAATAAAAATTGCTATTTTTCAACACGCCAGTTCAGCTGGGTTAATGACAGAGAAGAATCATCAACAAGCCAACCCTGCAAAATAGCAAAAGCAAAGTTTAATTACATGGGGCACGTATACATAACCCTCAAATTATATTAGTCCAGAATATCTAAGGTACAAAATAAACGGAAAGGTAGGTCACATAAATTCCAAAGCAGATGCACCATTCTGCTTATGAAGGTTGGTCTGTAGGTTAACAATTAAGAAACTCTGGGTCAAATATGATTCCAGTATAGTTACTAATGAACAGAAGCCAGGTGGACAGTAGGTGTCCTTACAGACAGCAGGAAAACTGTAATGTCCTGGCTGAAACTGTTGATTGAGCACCTGGTGAAGGGGTGAGGCTGGCCTATGGAATGCAGACAAGTTCTTGACACTTATGCTCAGTATGTGACTGTAAGGGTGGACCCAGGTTGGAGCCACTCATCATAAGAGCAGGCCACGGGATGGGGAGCATGTCTGACACCTTGGCTCTGTCGACAGAGCCCCTTCACCAGTTCAGCAAGTTCTGTTCCTACTTTTGTATACGATTATGGCCCTACCTGCAAATTCTTTGCTGGCAAGGACCAGTCATAAACTGTTTTTTTTTGTGAGCAGAACAAGTCTGGATCAAATCTGTATAACAGTGGTTTGACTGTGGTCCTGAAAACTTGATGGAAAACTATTTGGTCAATGTCTTTGTTGTTTAAGTGCTACTGAGGGGAAACTTTTAACTGAATGGTCAGTTGGTCATGTACCTTAAAGGGCTGGAAGAATTTATAGCTTTTGCTGTAAGCTAAACAGCTTCTTTCAGTTATATCAGAAGAAGTAAAGGCTAGGTTTTACAGCACAAAGATAGCGGGTTACTTCCTGCTCGGTTGCTATCTGTTTGATCAGACATACTAGGAAGTTAGTCTCTGTGGTAAACTAGTCTTTTTCCCTGCCGGGTTGGCTGATGTGTATTCTTTTGGATGAAAGAATATGATGTGCAGGGCATTTTAAAAGGGTGAGAAAATGTAAAGTCAGATATATGGATCATTGCTTTGTTGAATCCGGACATGGTCATCTTTCACTGGTGAAGAGTTCAAAAGACTTTTCTGTGCAGTAGTTCTTGAAGCAGAATGATGAAATGGATCTCACAATGATTCAGATTGGAAGGCTCTTTAAATATCGTCCAGACCAACCCCATTGCCATCAGCAGGGACAAAAGATCATTTGGATATCCAGTTGCAGAAAAAGATGGAAAACAATACCTGTAAATGTGTTCATGCTGATGCCAAATACCTGCACCTCAGATACAGTATAGGAGAGACACTTGCTCTGCTCCAGTCTTAAGGAAATATCCCATGTCATATCAGAGGTGATCGAGAGCAGCCCTACAATGCCATCAGCCTCCTTGTTAGTGTGGATGCCAGAGGAGAGTTGCTTAAACAAATTTTATACACCATGGCTTCTTACAGTCTTCAGCTGTTCTACATTGGTTAGATTTTTTTCCTCTTGTTAATGAGACTTTTACCTGAGAAGCATCTTTCATGTGGAAGGTTGAGAGAGATTGAACTACTTAGTCTGGACAAGTGATGGTTCAGGGGGACTCTTCTTTGTACAGCACATTGACAGAACAATAGCCATTAGAAACAAATTAAAAAAAAAAAAAAAAATTCAATACGAGCACACCTCATATTGAAGAAAAACCTTTATTTACTGTGAAGACAGACACTCAAACAGGTTGCCCAGAAAGTGGGTGCAGTCCTGCACAGTCCTGCCAAGAACATATTCATGTTGATACAGCTTAAGCAAGCACATTGGAATAGACAATCTCAGGAGGTCTCCTCTTAGCTGAATAATTCTTAGAGTCTGTGATTTGTTTGCCACTTCTTTTGATGGAAAAACAACAAACAAAAATACCAATGACATTCTTAATGTCTAATTCCTTTCCGAAACATCTAAATTTTGTTATTTTCTCTGGGTTATTTAGCCCCAGTCAATCCATTCAAAATGGGGCCTTATAATCTCATGTTCCCCAGAGTTTACTTTCAAGGTATTGATTTTCTGTCATTCATATGATATCTCGTATCTCATTCCCATCATGGCAAACATGCTTATTTATGCCATTTCTTGTTAGCTGTGGCTTTAACTGCCTGAGTCAGTGTGTGCTTAGTGATCTCTGTGCATTTGCTTCGAAGAAACTTGCAGCGTGATGTTAAATGATGTGCAGAATAGCTGCTGTGAAGGAGACAGATGCTGTAAGCTTCCTGTGCTTCTCAAGACAGTTCTTTCTGGCTCCTGTAACTTGTGAGCAAGTAGCAAGCAAAATATTAGATTCCTTAGCATGGAATTTTTTTTTTTTTTCTGACTTCTGTCTATAGCTTGATGGTTGAGGAATATTTTTATTGATTTCGGGGGACCAGATTCTAGCCAACACGTGCCCTTCCTTTCTAATTGCCAAAACCATCAGCTTCTGCGAAATAAGACTAGCTAGAAAATTCTCAGAGAGATGCGGTACATGTCCAGATGTCAGCTAGACTGTGCCTGTCTCATTTGCATGCCAAATGAGTTAAGAGGGAGCTGAAAGTACTGGCATTTAAATTTTCTGCTCTGGAAACATCTGTTCTACTAAATCTCTAATTTCTTCAATCAAAACCATTCTACGATTCCAGTACTCTGTTGAAATTATTTTCTTAATGTTGGAAGTACATAACTGCTGTCATATTTTGCTAAATGCTTGAAAACATCTTTTTAGAATTACTTTAAAAATAGAGGACAGTATTTTTAGAAGGGAGAATTATAAGTCATTCTGTTACAAAGAGTGGGGAGAAATTGCACTATCCTTAAAGTCATTTGTAGCCTGTGTGTCATGTAGTCTTTCCATAAAGTGTTATTCATATAACATTCTTGTACTAGTCTCCCTGGCATGTAAGTCACCATGAATGAATTACAAAGGGCACTATTGCTATAGTCTACAGTCTAAGATGTGATATATGCCTTTAGGAAACAATGTATTTCTACTTCTTTTGTTGGTAAGAAAGCAGGAACAAAACAATAGTTTTGATAGTGCAAAAATACTTGAAGAATTTATCATCAAAGTAGATCTAATAACCCACTGCAATTTTCTCTGCCTCAAAAGCCAGTAACATTAAGTTATCCTTTCTGATTTAACTCAGATAATTTTATTGCCAATTGCAAGCTTATTATTTTGCTTATGTTTCATCCTTCATCATGCAATTTTAAGACAAGCAAGTATGCAGATTTGCTTTTTATTTGAAATGACAGTATTCTCTTTGTACTCGTGGCATTAAGTCATCCGGAATCCCCCACCGGGCTAAGAAAGACTAAAAAAGCAGAAGAGGAAGTTGCTACATTTATATCCCAAATTCACTCAAACGCTTGAATAGGAACAATAAGACTATTCTACCTTTTTGTGTGCTTATGTAAAAGGGAGGAAGAGTGATTAAAATGTACATGGGAGTGTGCTTTCAGGACAAATTAAGGGTCAAGGCCAGTAAATTTCAGCATGAGCATGACATGCGCTTCATGGGGGAGTGTCATTTTTACAGTCTTCTGTTATAAATGAAGGACATAGTTGCTGCTGTTGCTCTTTATTCCTTCACTTTCCTGTGGCTGCTGGAGATTCATTAAAATAAATGACACAGTTCTATTCTTCCTAGAAGATAAAACTGACAGAAGTTCAGCCTACTGCCATGCTAGATTCTGAGTTTTCACTGGAGAAACCAGGCATGCTTTAAATGACTCAGCAATATGCAGGGACCAGTCTGTACCACCTTCCTAGCAAAATGTAACTAACAGAACAAAATGTACCTCAGCCTGCAGTTTGCCTCACCATGTCTTTCATGTAGGTAAAAACTGACTTCCAGGGTTGCTTTTTTCTGCATTTGGCCAATTTCAGAACCATGTTGGAATGGGACTACAAGGTAGGACTGGGTGGCTTATGTCTAATGTACTGTGACACGTACTGACTTACGGGCAGCACCTAAGTGGAGGCAGAGGCCTTGCCATAGATCTCGGTAGAAAATCAGAATTACTGTCCACAGTATACTGTTCCAAGACGCCTAACACATGGTATGCATAGGTTAAGCTTTCAGCTATCAGAAAGAAAACATACGACTGCACATGGATGCTTCCACTGGCTCATTCTGCAGCGCTCGGCCCATGGGGGGCTATAGGACTGACACCAAGACACTTCTCCTGGGCAGTGCCATGGCACCTGCTGGCTTTTGAGAAGTGTTTGGGCAACGTTCTCAGACATAGGGTTTGGATTTTGTGTGGTCCTGTGCGTTGGATTACGAAACAGGAGCCAGATTGGATGACACTGACGGAGGCTTATTTTGATCTTTGTTGATCTCTCCAACTCTGTGAAAGGAGGCTGTGAAGAAATGGGAGTCAGCCTCTTCTCCCAGGTCACAGCAATAGCACAAGAGGGAATAGCCTCAAGTTGCATGAGAGGAGGGCTAGTTGGCTATAAGAAAAATGCCTTCTCAAAGAGTGGTGCTGCACTGGCACAGGCTGCTCATGGAGGTGGGAGAGTCACAGTCCTTGGAGGTGTTCAAGAATTGTGAGAGGTGTGGTTGCTGGGCATGGTGGGGATGGGCTGATGGCTGGGCTCTGTGATCTTAGAGGTCTTTTCCATCCTTAACACTTCTGTAGTTTAGTGGCAGACTTGGCCGTACTTGGTTAACACTTGGACTTCTCAGAGGTCTTTCCCAGCATAAAGGATTCTACGATTCTCCGAGCCCTGCGGCTCACTACCACCCCAGGCGTAGTACGGTTAAGCGGTGCTACGACGCGGCAGTGACGCAACTCCGTACTGACAAAGTCATGCGACCGCTATCGGCCCCGCGGCTACCGCGCGCGCTCCCACAGCCAAGCCTGCGCGTTCCCGGCCCCACAACCCCTTTCCGCTGCCCTCTCCGCCGGCTCCCCATCAAGCCCTTGGCGCTGATTGGCCCGAGCCCACCGAGGCGCGCGGAGGATTCCATTAGCCCCGCCTCTGCCGCTCGCTGATTGGCTTTGCCTCCCGGCGGTGCTCGTCTCCCATTGGCCCAGGCGGAGGGTGCCCCACTTCCGCGCCGATTTCTGTGTGGAGGCGCAGGCCCGGGACCCGCCGTTGCCCGTGCCCGTGCCCGCGCCCGCGCAGCGCCGCAGCAGCTCGTCCCCATGGCTAACATGGAGTTGTTCGGTGCGCAGCAGCCGCAGGCCGCCTCCGGTAACGGGGCGACGGACGGCGCCGAGGAAGACCCTGCCGCTGCCTTCCTGGCGCAGCAGGAGAACGAGATCGCGGGCATCGAGAACGACGAGGGATACGGCATCCTGGAGAGCGGCGACGTGCCGGAGGCGCTGCAGGCGGCGGAGGGCTTCGACTCCGGTACGGCGCACGGCCTCCCTCTCCTCTGTCCCGGGCGGCCGCTGCCTTCTGGCGGCTCCGCCCGGCCCGCGGCTCGCTCCGCCGCTCCCGTGAGCCCGGAGCGGAGTACCGCGGGTAGGGCGGTGCGCGGCGCTCCTCCCGGCGCCGCTCTGCTCGGAAGCGGCGGTCCACGTTCGCGCGTGAGAGCCGGCTGGGCTAATGTTTAATTTTACTCGGCCTCTGGCCGTTGTACCTCCGTAACCTTTGTACCGAAGGTGAGAAAGCTGACGCTGCAGAACGGGGTGTTGTGCTCGGAGCAGCGTGGTTATGTATTCTGGGAGTCAGGTTGTGGGGGCTCTCTGTTAGTGCAGCAGCTGAAGCTGTCTCCAGCCTCTGGCACTAGGGCCTTTAATCTGAATCCTGGGCGAGAAGGGGGTGTGAACCTAGCGATGCTGTTTCTGTGTTGCTGCAAGGTGTGCCTCGTGTTCATCTCTGCGCCCAGGGGAGTTTGTTTTGACCTCGAGAGCCATTCGTTTATCACTTCCCGCACGGGCAGCTAGCCTCTTCTGTCTGAGTTGAATTACTCCGCTCACCGGTTCTCTATTGAAGTGTCTTCAGAATTAAGTTTTCAATGTGAAAAGCTGCTACTGAAATAACTGGTGTTTATGGGACTGTTGGTTCATAATAACCCGTGAAACAAAGCACGGTTAAGTGAGCTGAGTAATGGAGACCTGCTGTATCCAGGGCTAACCTAGAGGTGCTGGAGCCCTTAGAAACTGGCTCATTCATAAAAAGGTTGGCTATACAGACTGTGTACTTCCATGCAAACGTCTTTGTCAAGTGAAGTGACATCCTTAAGCACTAAACATGGGGGTAATCATTAGAATACCATCCAGATGTAACGTAACTCACTATTTTTATGAGCAGAAACAGACTGTGTATGAATCCCCTCTCTCAGAAGCCTCAGATGTTGCTCTTTGGAGCATTATGCTTTATATGGCATAGAAGAAAATTGTTAGCATCTCACAGGGTGATAGAACCAACTGGACTTGTATTTTCTCTGTGTGCAGTCTGGCTGTTGCGGCGTAGTTCCTCACCAGCTGATTAAGTGCTGCCAGGTTGGGTAGAAATGAAAAACTAGTTCAGCTGTGGCTGAAGAAGCTTTTCATTTCCTTTGAGAAACTGTTACTGTAGAAAGAGAGCCATAAAGTAGTAGATACAATCTAAGGATCTGTGAAGTCTAGGTGTGGTCTATATATCACTTTGCTTTTTGGTATGAATTTGGATTTCACTGATGCTCTGGCCTGTAGTACGGGTGTAGCTGATCATCTTTTTGGAATTCTGGTGGTCACCTTGTTAATAGAACATCCATTCTCTGACTGTTAAACCCTATATTCCCTATTAGGAAAAATAGAAGATGCAATTTGCAATAATGCAAAATGTGCTAGTTCAGGTGACGGGTGTATTTGTAACTTCTGTTGCCACTTCTCTATAAGACTCCTTAGGGTTCAGTCAACACCCTAACAAACATCTGACAACACTAGTTCTTATTAGTTTATTGAACTGTTTCGGTGAATGTAAATCTATTCTTGAATTTATTTATGTAAATCCTTAAGAAAAATATTTTAGTGAACCCTTAAAGCACGGTGGTCAGGGATTTGTGGATTTATTTAATTTTATTTACTGTTTTAACCATAACTTTCCTGAAATCCTGATTTATGGATCTGCTGGGTAAGTTTTTCTTTCTTTCCTTTCTCAATGCTGGGCAGAAGTTGTAGCTGAAGCAATTCTCTTCCGGAGTGCAAAGATCTTAAAATATTATGAGAAACAGTCTCCAGCTTCCTTAAATATGCTTGTAAGAAACATGCTCTCTAACGCATCAAACTGTTTAAATGAAGTCTATTAAAAAAAAAAAAAAATAGTTAAACTCAAGGTCAGCGTTGAACTTCATGTACTTAGGCTAATGGAAACATATTTGTGGTAATTGAAACTGTATCCCTGTTAATTGTAGCAATGATGGGTACTTAGGGCATAATGTTGCCAAGCTCATGTGGTCTCACTGAGCATCACTTCACATTGCTTCTGTCAGGGCTGGGATATTGGCCTGGCCCATTAGACCATTTATATGTACATAGACATTCCAACTAGTCTTGTATTCACTTGAAATGTGAAGCATAATTGCTATCTCAGAGGACAAGAAATGCTGTGTAAATAAAGCAATAAAGAGCTATTGTCTGGTTATTAGTATTCTGGTCTCTTGTGGGATCCCCTTCCCAGTAAGAAAACAGTTCAGTTGCAGTGTCTGCTCTGCAGGAGCGAATGCGTTCAGATTGAGATATCTATCTTCCAGAATCTGTGTTTCAATGTAAAAATCCTGTGACGGCTTGTTGGTGACTTCTTACTGAGAACAACCTTCAGTAGCAAGCAGTTTTGTGTAAACAGTCATGAAAATACTACTCAAGTTTCATGTAGGCTGTCTAGTCTCAAACATTGACTTCACTTTCACATTCTGTTGCCTTTATGTGAACTTCAGTGAATGACTCATCTTCTGAAGAGAGGCATGTGAGCCTCTCTAGGAGGTAAGGAACTGAAATCTCTCAAGGATTGAATATCAGTTGTTTTGGTTTTTTTTTTTCTTTTTTCAAAATATCTTTGGGAAAGAATTGTTTTCTTCTGACTTGAGATAACTTCACGGACAGAATGAGTTACTCATCAATGGCTATTGTTTTTTCTAAACTGTTCAAGGTTTCAAAGTGCTCCATAAGGTAGCATTGAGAAAGGTTTGATTTAAAAAAAAAAAAAAAAAAAAAAAATTGTGATGCTGTATTATGAAGCTCATAGTAGGAACAAACACATCTATTTTGCCTGTTAATGAGGAGAGAAGCCCTTTTCCTGCTTTTATTTTTTATTTTACTTACAATCACAGAAATAAGGTTTTGGCTGGAAAACCTATTTTTCCTCAGTGATGCAAGACGTTGTCTTAAAAGAATAAGGAAACAAAACCCTCAAGCTACTACTTTTTAGAAGATAAGCAGTGAAGAGAATACTCAGTATTTGAAAGGGATGCTAAGAGTAGCTCATAAAGCATGACTTTAAATATAGTCATGTTGAAGTTAACTTCTCTTGCATGGAGAATATTGTCAAAAGCCTACTTGATAGGAAGACATCAGAAGGAATTAATCCATGTCTGGGCTTGAATTAGAAGTGTTACTCTTCATGGTCCTATGTCTGGTTCTTCTGATAGCCTTCATTTGTTGTGCTGACAGTAAATCTTCACTAGTGAACAAGGCTGAAAGTGTATTGTGCTGCATAGCTGTATGGTCTTAGAGCAAGGCAATGTGTTTGATTTGAAGAAGTAATTACAGAAAATGTTCTGTTAATGTTCGCTTGCAGCACTGCAGTAGTCTTTAGATGTTATGGATGATAAGTGGGATGTCACACTAGATGGGGAAATGTTGTAAGACTGTTCTGCTTTAACAAGGCAAAAGAAACAACAATGGAACGCCTAAAATGTGACAGACAGCATCGAGATGTTCCCCTTTTTCTTCCTTATCTCTGTGTACAGAGACTTCTGACTGTCCTTGCATTCCACTGTAATCTTCAGGACAAAAGGAGTGTTGAAAATAAACAACTCCCAGGGGCAGATAGAGGACCAGCAGGATGCTAGAAGAACTCTAAATGACATTGAAGATCACCAAATAAGGCTGTGTCTGTTAGTCAGTCAGTATGTAATGTATGTGAAAATATAACCTATTCACGAACGATCAACTGATGGAGCATTCTTGGAGAGTTATCCAATGCTACTGCAGCACTGCCAAGAAAGAATACTTTGCTTAACTGTAACAAAACTTTGCTGTAAGTTTCTACACATCAATTTTTTTTTGTAATCACTTTCAAAAGTAGATCTTCACTTCAGCTGTCTCTGACAGCTCAGTTGTTGACATTCAGTACAAAGCTAACTTTAAATGAGAGTTGTGTCAGCTCTGAAGTTGAAGTAAGCCTCTGGCTAAACCTTTACTTTGTTCTTGGAACTAGTCTGTAGTTTTTGCATGCCTAGTACTACCAGGAGAACAACTGCTTATGGATTAATTTTATTCCAGGTCCACTACCATCTGCTCGATCTGCCCTTTTCTTGAAGCTTCATAAGCTTCCTTGGCTGTTCCTTTCAGTTAGAAACTTAACTTTGTAAATTCACTGTATGTTGACTTGTAGGACTGAAGTGGGAAAAAAACTGTGCTTATCTTCAAGGTACTTGTCCATTTCTCTTGAAAGCTATTGCACATTTGGAGGACACAGATTCTAGCTGTCTGTTTCTGGCAAGCTCAACCGTTTTTTCCCTCCTGTGTGTGCAAACAGCTGATACAGCTTCTGCTTTCCTCACAGGCTCAGACTCTAAAAGTTGTCTGGGTGGAACTCTAGAAGTTTGTTACTCCATTGCCAGCATGTTCTGGAAGTGTGGATACTTGGATATTTTCTGTGCTTTATCTAAAGTTCAGAAGGAACCACCAAGGAGTGTGGGGTGTTCCTAACTTCCTCAGAAAGTATGGTGTTAACTTCAGGAGTTGTAAGGTGCTGTGTTAGTCATGAATAGACTCTGAAGCCAATAGAGATCTGTCATTGTTCATAACTGTTGAAAACATTTTTTCTGGGGAAAGTTGTGTACAAAATGACATCCTTCTGTGAACAAGGAAATCTGATACACAGATTGCTTTGCTTACTGAGACAAAGGCTGGCAAACAGTTTTTTTTTCTTTTTTTTTTTAGGTTTCATATTGATTTACACAAACACTGAAACTGGAGAGCTGGAGAGAGAATATTTGACTGTTGATTCTGTTTCAGTTAGTGTACTTGTGTTAGCACATGATAGCACAACAGTACTGTTCTACTTTATTTTCAGCGGGCAGGGTGCATTGTCAGCATGCTGACTCAGCATTGTAATCACAAGTTCTAGGAAGCTTAAAACAGATGGAAAGCTGTAGTATTTTTAATGCCTGTGACTTATTTGCCCTCTAGCCATACTTTCTGCTGTACCAATTAGTGTCTAAGCAGAAGATAAGTAGTCCTAAGATGAACACATCTGTTTTTCAGCTCTGCAGGAATGTTGTTCCGTTCTGCAGACTACTAGCCTGAATGCTGAAGACTTTAATGAAAGTTTTCTCTTTGTATTATGACAAGAAAAATCTTAAAGATGTAATCCTCCTTACCTCGCTGGTCAGTCAGTGCTTCCAAGTATGTCCCATGAAACAACTGCCTTCCCTCTGGAGATCAGAACTACATTTATTTCAAGACTAACCTTTGTTGGTTTTTTTCTCTCCAACTAGGTTCTGTCTGATGGTGCAGGTTGCTCTTAGCTCTTCCCAGGTAGGCTCTGTAGGCAGCTAACTTGTTCAGGTGGTTTTTGTCAATACAAGTTAAATACCCTGACTTAGCTGTAATTCCAGCCCAGTCTAAAAAGGTGAACAGCTGCAGCCTCCTTTTCTAGCATGAAGTGTAAGCAGGCTTCCTTTATGGGCTTCAGTCTTCCTAAATGTAATGAGGAGAATTGTTATTTGTGGCTGTAACTACTCAGGACTGTGTGCTCAGTGGTCTCTGCACATTTGCTTTGAGGAAACTTGCAAATTGATGTTAAGTAATGCGCAGGATAGCTGCTGTGAAGGAGGCAGATGCATCTCAAGCCAGTTCTTTTTGGCTCCTGCAACTTGTGGCAAGCAGCAAACAAAGTAGTTATTGCTCTTGAGATATAGGAGTGTAGCTCTAAAATACTAGGGTCCTTTAACTGGTAAAACTAATGTTCATTAACTTGAATTGTCTTTCTCTTTCTGAAGCTGGTAACTGCATTATTGAAGGCTAGTATCATTCAATGTTACCATGTTTTGACTAAGGATTTTACATACTTTCACAAGTACTGTGAATTGCTGCTGTTCAGGAGTCGGAGATAGGGGTTTAGTAATACTGGTAAAAGTGCAAAGAGGACGTGGAACAAATAGAGTGTGTGGCAGCATGACAGTCTGCTCCAGGTGAATTAACAACCTTATTTAGGAAGCTAATGTGAAATGTTTGAGTTTCTGCCTGCTATTTGTTGACTTTGGTAAAATCTCAGCTTTCAGTGTAGAGTGCATTAATGTGGCAGAAACACTTGTGATGGGCTTATCCAGGGTAGCATTATAGATGAGGCAAAGTTGTAAACTTAATATATTTCACTGGGAGATGGTACACTACTGTTCCAGAAAGTGGCTCCTGAAAATTTTACTGCCTTCTCCATAGACTGAAAACTCAAATAGTTTAACAGAGTCAAATACTTGTTTCACAATCAATGTGTGTTCCTAGGTCTTCCTTCTGATAAGAGATTTTATAGATAAGAGATAATGCGGCTGGAGAATTAGAAAGCTATCAAAGATGTCATTGCAGGAGAAACATGAAAGGTGATTTTTGGTAGGGATGTTAATATAATTTTTTGGACTTGCTAGGAGTTAGGAAGTAACAAAATCATGATAAGATTTAGAAAGTGTTGCCCTACTTGATTGTTAGTCTTACAAGTAGTGTGAAAAGTGTAAGTCACCTTTAACTTCTGAACAGTTGTCTAGTATTCATTTTCAAAGGCAGGGATGGGAAAATGGGAGAAACTCCAGGACATTCTCCGTAGCAGCTTCTCAGCAGTGTCAGCTCTGCTTTTTGAGTAGCCTGTAGCAAGATCTCATAGTGAAGAACTGGCTTTAGTTCTAAAGAATAATGACTCACTGTCTCTTGTGTCCTGGAAAAGGAAGAAAAGTGCAGAGGTAAGGAATTGACCCTATGGGGTATTGAGTAACAATTACTTACATAATTCCCCTACTGGATGCTGTAATAAAGGTTTCCAGACAAGTAACTGTTTAGTAAATCCAATTGTATTGTTTTTCTCAAATGGTTAAACTACAGTTATTTCTTTATAGGTGCTGTTGATGGAGTGATGAATGGAGTTGTCTATCAGGTAAGATACAAGTAATCTGTGCTTAGAGTGTGCTGTTCTACTGTGAGAACTTACTTAAATCTAGACTTGTACTCACCATTGCTTTTCTAATGTGCTTGTCGGCTGTCTCATGACCTCTTAAAGCTGCTAATGCTCGCAGTATGCTCCTCTGAACTGGAGGGCATCTTAAGGCAGCAGTCTCTTCTGAGTTATGGTTGAATGGGACGTGACCACAGCGAGCAGATTCAATTTCTACAACTGGGTGACTAGTCTGGTAGATGAGGGAAGGGCTGTTGATGTAGTCTTCCTAGTCTTCAGCAAAGCCTTTGATATGGTCCCTCACAGGCTTCTTCTTGGGAAACTGGCTGCCCGTCGTCTGAACAGATATACACTTCTTTGGATAAGGAATTGGCTAGAGGGTCGTGGTGAATGGAGTGAAGTCCAGCTGGCGACCCGTTTCAAGTGGTGTCTCCCAGGGGTTGGTACTGGGGCCCATCCTGCTTAATATCTTCATTGATGACCTAGATGAGGGAATTGAGTGTACAAACTGAGTAAGTGTACAGATGACACCAAGCTGGGAGGTGGTGTTGATCTGCCTGAGGGTAGGGCGGCCCTTCAGAGAGGGATTTAGACAGGCTGGACTGCTGGGCTGAGGTGAATGGGATGAGGTTCAACAAGGCCAAGTGCCAGGTCCTGCACTTTGGGCACAACAACCCCATGCAGCACTGTAGGCTTGGGCATGAGTGGCTGGATGATTGTGAAGAGGAAAGGGACCTGGGGGTGTTGGTTGATGCTCGGCTGAACCTGAGCCGAACTGTGTGTCCAGGTGGCCAAGAGGGCCAACAGCATCCTGGCCTGCATTAGAAACAGTGTGGCCAGCAGGAGCAGGGAGGTGATCATCCCCTGTACTCAGCACTGGTGAGGACGCATCTTGAGTACTGTGTTCAGTTTTGGGCTCCTCTCTACAGGAAAGATGTTGAGGTCCTGGAGCATGTCCAGAGAAGGGCAACAAAACTGGTGAGGGGTCTGGAGCACAAACCTTATGAGGAGCATCTGAGGGAGCTGGGATTGTTCAGTCTGTAGAAGAGGAGGCTCAGGGGAGACCTCATTGCACTGTACAACCTCCTGAAGGGAGGCTGTGGTGAAGAGGGTTTTGGCCTGTTCTCCCAGGCAACGAGCTAGACACGGGGCAATGGCCGCAAGTTGTATCAGAGGAGGTTTAGGTTGGACATAAGGAAGAACTGTTTCTCTCAGGGGATGGTCAGGCACTGGAATGGCTGCGCAGAGAGGTGGTGGAGTTGCCGTCCCTGGCAGTGTTCAAGAGGCGT